TAATAATAAAAAATAACACACGGTATTTATTTAGCGCCCAAGCCCGTGTGAAGAACAAAGGCTCTGAGCCTTAGCGTACAAGAAACCCTGAGCGCTTCACAAATGCAAAAAAGCAGCACATTGTGTTCTGGCTACAAATCGGAACAAAACTGATCTTGAAATGGATTAAACAGTTATTCTGTTCTGACGAAAAATCTACATAAAATAATAAATCTTTAAGTGAGTCGAACAGTTTTTGGCCTGTGAAGTCTTTTCCTCGGTCTGTTATGTCTTTGCTCTATACTCCCGTCATAGACTTGTAATATCCTAGACTATGCTCTATGACGTACTTCCGGTTCACCCATAGATTTGTATTGTAATATCCTAGATATGCTCTATGACGTACTTCCGGTTCACCCATAGATTTGTATTGTAATATCCTAGACTATGCTCTATGACGTACTTCCGGTTCACCCATAGATTTGTATTGTAATATCCTAGATATGCTCTATGACGTACTTCCGGTTCACCCATAGATTTGTATTGTAATATCCTAGATATGCTCTATGACGTACTTCCGGTTCACCCATAGATTTGTATTGTAATATCCTAGATATGCTCTATGACGTACTTCCGGTTCACCCATAGATTTGTATTGTAATATCCTAGACTATGCTCTATGACGTACTTCCGGTTCACCCATAGATTTGTATTGTAATATCCTAGACTATGCTCTATGACGTACTTCCGGTTCACCCATAGATTTGTATTGTAATATCCTAGACTATGCTCTATGACGTACTTCCGGTTCACCCATAGATTTGTATTGTAATATCCTAGACTATGCTCTATGACGTACTTCCGGTTCACCCATAGATTTGTATTGTAATATCCTAGATATGCTCTATGACGTACTTCCGGTTCACCCATAGATTTGTATTGTAATATCCTAGACTATGCTCTATGAGTAGGGTAGGGGGTTCCTATTTACATTGTAGGCACAGATCACCGGCAAACAAGTGCTTGTGTTTTTCTGATTGCAAGCAGCAAGAATTCACAACCGTTTTTTCTGTATTCGTGATTTGCAAGAAACATTCAAATAGAAATGTAACGTGTTTGTTTTATATATATACATCCAGTTTTGTCAAGCTTTGTACTTAGCTATGCTTCGCTCAGTTTCTGAGATATACATAATATGATGTAGCATGGGGGGGGGGGGGGGGGAGGGTGCTAATTTGTATTCTTACTGATGTGTCATTTGCTTCTTCGAAATATTATTTTGCGTGGGTGTATACGTGTGCGTGTATGCGTGCTTGTATGTATGTATGTTTGTATGTATGTGTGTATATGTATGTGTGTGTAGGTATGTATGTGTGTGTGTGTGTGTGTGTGTGTGTGTGTGTGTGTGTGTGTGTGTGTGTGTGTGTGTGTGTGTGTGTGTGTGTGTGTGTGCAAATGCAACTTCGTAAATTCTCAGGAAAGATTCCATTGACAAAACCCTAGTGACGTCCCTGAAGACGTCCAGTAGCGCCTCACGTTGGGCGTTCATTCAGTTGAGAAGGGAAAGAACAGAATCAATTTCCTACACCGCTTTGTTTGTTTAATAAGCTTAGAGTTTTACGGCGCTCGCAACTGCATAAGGTCATATGAGTGCGCGAAATTACACCGTTTTAACAGAACAACATATCAGAACGTGCTACTTTTGAGAAGCTAGAGCTCCTATGTTATGGAACTGCCCGTCGAAATATTGAAAAAAAAATGCAGTGTTTCCTCGATTTTGTTCGATTAGATATGATGAATCAACTGAGCTTTTCCTGGAATACGACAGATCCTCAGACACATTTATCAAGGTCAAGAACAACTCTGCGATATTCCCTGGAAAAACGTAGGCGTGCTCCCGTGCAAGATGGTACGTTGGTTGTAACAGAAGGGAATTTTTCCAGAGAGGTCAATCTCCCTTTCACATAGAACAGATTCCAGACTGCTGCTGCTACTGCCGCTCTACTGCAGCTGCTGCTGCTGCTCTACTACAACTGCTTCTACTGCTTTACTACAACTGCTGCTGCTGCTCTACTACAGCTTCTGCTGCTGCTCTACTACAACTGCTGCTGCTACTGCTGCTCTACTTCAACTGCTGCTGCTGCTGCTCTACTACAACTGCTGCTGCTGCTGCTACTGCTGCTACTGCTGCTCTACTTCAACTGCTGCTGCTGCTGCTACTGCTTTACTACAACTGCTTCTGCTACTGCTGCTCTACTACAACTGCTGCTGCTCTACTACAACTGCTGCTGCTCTACTACAACTGCTGCTGCTGCTGCTACTGCTGCTACTGCTGCTACTGCTGCTCTACTTCAACTGCTGCTGCTGCTGCTACTGCTTTACTACAACTGCTTCTGCTACTGCTGCTCTACTACAACTGCTTCTGCTACTGCTGCTCTACTACAACTGCTTCTGCTACTGCTGCTCTACTACAACTGCTTCTGCTACTGCTGCTCTACTACAACTGCTTCTGCTACTGCTGCTCTACTACAACTGCTTCTGCTACTGCTGCTCTACTACAACTGCTGCTGCTCTACTACAACTGCTGCTGCTCTACTACAACTGCTGCTACTACAACTGCTGCTGCAGCTACTGCTGCAACTCTACAGCTTCTGCTGCTTCTGCACTGCTACACTTGCGGTCAAGAGCTTAGCTTAAAAAACAAAGCTCAGGAGGAAGCAGGACGCACTAACCTTTAGCCTAAAGCTCAGGAGGAAGCAGGACGCACTAACCTTTAGCCTAAAGCTCAGGAGGAAGCAGGACGCCCCAACCTTTAGCCTAAAGCTCAGGAGGAAGCAGGACGCACTAACCTTTAGCCTAAAGCTCAGGAGGAAGCAGGACGCACTAACCTTTAGCCTAAAGCTCAGGAGGAAGCAGGACGCACTAACCTTTAGCCTAAAGCTCAGGAGGAAGCAGGACGCACTAACCTTTAGCCTAAAGCTCAGGAGGAAGCAGGACGCCCCAACCTTTAGCCTAAAGCTCAGGAGGAAGCAGGACGCACTAACCTTTAGCCTAAAGCTCAGGAGGAAGCAGGACTCCCCACCTGTACTGTGAGAAAAGGGCGCCACAGTAAAAAAAAAAGTGGAACATTCAAACTGAACGTAACGAAACGTAAACCAATTTCAAATTTGTTTTTAATTAATTTTATTATTTTACGTGTGTGTCTATGTGTGTGTGTGTGGGGGGGGGAGGGCATGCGCCCATGCACCCAGGTGACCAGTACCCTAGACAGCGGAAAAAACACACCCCACGAATCTAATTCTGCAGATAAAAGAAATATAAACATGTTGGGGGAGGGGGAGGGGGATTTAATTTTATATCTCAATATCAAAATTGAGAAGAGAGGTAACT